GATTGCTAAGATAATTAAAATGATTGAAGCTTTAAACAGATGAGCTAAATAAAAAATTTAAAAAATGACTTAAAACACGAGAAAGGAATATTCGCAATGGAATATAGTATAACCCGATTATTGAAATAGATGAAAAAATGTCGAAAGATTATATAGTATAACCCGATTTTTAAGAAAAAATGCTGAATGATTAGCGAGATGAGTAGATAAAGTATGTTATTTGGCATGCTGTAATGATAATGTCGTGATCTGTGTAATCACGATATGATTGACAATAACAGAAAGTATCTGGGCCAGAATTTGGCCAGGTGGTGGCTGGGCCTCGTGGGGCCTAGATATCGACCTGTCAGATTCTGGCTCAGTTAGGACAGTTATTGTTGCGTAGCATCCAATAACGGTATTATCTGCCAATTTACAACGATCGGGCATAACGTGGAGAGCAATGTTGGAAATTGTATGTTCACAGTGTTCACGTGAACATACATTTTTTAAAAAAACCAAAGTTTTTCCTATTGTGAACATAGAAAATCATATTTGTGAACATAAAAATTTTTTTAAATTTCCAACACTGGTGGAGAGTGTGGAAAAAACATTTTAAATTAAAAATACATATATAAGGTAAATAACGTTTAAAAGTCAGATCGTGTAGACAAGTGATAGTGTAAAAGTTTTTATTACAAAATATTGAAAGAACTTCACTAAGTTGTTTCGACTTATCCAATCATAAAGAACTGCTTCAGGTGCTTTGTCCTATCTAGAGAATTTTAAAAGGTGAAAATCTATATGATGCTTTGTTTAGTTAAAGACTTTTAAAATTAAGGAACTTTAGTATTAAAAAGAAAAATGGCTTATTTCGAAAATAATGTGATTTGACAAATCTTATTTGTGTATCAAAATTTTTGGAAACAGAAAATGAAATAGGGGCGTTTAGAAATTCCCATTTAATGAAATAAATAAAATTTCAACAACAAAAATCATTATTACAAATTTATCTGAAAATAAAATAAGGTTAATACATTGTTTATTTGAAAATTAATACATTTCTATTTTGATTTATTATAAAAATTTATTTAAAAAGTATATATGCAAAGTACGTTATACAGTGGTATAGGTATTTACCGTAAATAAAGCGTACGTGTATTCCAATAGAATGAAACAAGCTATATACGTAAGTATGGATCAATTTTTGCTGAATAAACAAAATAAACTATCAATTTCTGCTAAATAACCAAAATAAACTATCTATTTCTACCGAATAGCCAAAATAAACTATCAATTTTTGCCAAATAATAAATATAAACTTTTTTTGCAAAATAACTTGAGTTATTTAGCAGCGCGATCATTGTAATCAGACGGATAATACTTATTTATTCATTATTTGAGTTTCTGTAGTTAGGTCTTCCACAAAGGAGTAAAAGTATGTTTCAATTTTGGTGAAAATATTATTTTTTAAAATTCTTGATATTATAATGAATTTTTGTAGACCATTAATTTATCTTGCAACTGTTAAAAATAATAATAGTTGATTTCTGCTTATATATATATGCTTCTTTTTTTTTACAAAATATTTGTTTTTCTATTTATTACTATATTCCTTTTAGATGGATATTGCACAATCTTCAGAAACACAAAGAGAATATCGAAATCGTCTTGCTAGAGAAGCTTATGAACATCGAAAATTATTATTTACAGCTGAACAACTTGAGAATCAACGTGCTTGACAACGTGAAGCTTATAGACTTCGTACTGAGGCTGAATCAAATAAGCAAGCAGACCACTGACGTAGAGCTTGACGTTCAGCATATATACATAATACTAAACAAGCATATAGATATAATGCTGCATGTATGCAGATATATGATACTACTTCTGTTATCTGTCACCAACTAGGATCAATAGAAGTTAAATGTTTGCAATATGGAGCACTCCATTGGTTAGAAGAAAGGGTAGCTGGTAGTATACTTGCACAAACTTTTAGTACCTGTTGTGCCAATGGAAAAATAAAATTGCCACATATTAATCAACCACCAGAACCTCTACTTTCATTGCTTATTGGAGAAGATAGCAAATCCCATATTTTTCGAAAAAATATTTATAAATATAACTCATTGTTAGCATTTACATCAATGGGTGCCAAATCAAAATATAGTTAGCACACAAGGAATTTATAGTTTTTGAATTCATGGTGAAATGTATCATCAAATAGATTCACTCTTACTAGATAATAATATCGCACCTGCTTTTTCTCAAATTTATATTTGTGATACTGAAGAACAATTAACTTACGGACAATGCTTAATACCTAATCTAGATCATTCAATTCTTGAACAGCTTCAGGAAATCTACATAATATTAATCCATATGTTCATATTTTTTGACAAATTGCGTATATTCTGTGTGAAAATCCTGTTCCAAATCTAAAGTTAGTTATTATTAAAGCACATAATGAACAAAGGTATTCAATTCCTGCTGCTTCAGAAATAGCTGTTCTTATAGTAGGTGATAGTCAAGAAGCTAAACCATCAAATAGAGATATTGTACTTTATAGACAGAATAGTAGTTTGTAGCAAATTTCACAAATACATCCTTCTTATATTCCATTACATTATGTATTACTTTTTCATATGGAGATTCAGGTTGGCATCCTTATATTCTTACAAATAATACTTCAAATACAGAAGATCGTTATGTTACGATGATGCAATATTATGCTTATTGTTTGCAATTACAACAGTATAGTCCAACAAAATTATTTGTATTAGATAGAAGTAGGTGTCTGTTTCAACAATATATAGTTGATGCATATGCATATATTGAACAAAATCATCTTAATTACTTAAAGTATAATCAAAAAAGATCTGTGCTGAGTTATATAGTGGGCTACAGAATACACTTTCTGTTCATGATGAAATACCCAAACTGGATCTCAAATTGGTCATCGAATTGTACTTCCTTCTAGTTTTGTTGGTGGTCCTCACCATATACAACAATTATATCAAGATGCAATGGCTATTGTTGGACAGATGGGCAAGCCAGATTTATTTATTACAATGACATACAATCCAAACTGGCCAGAAATTCAGTTATCTTTATTATCAGAACAAACTTCTCAAGATCGACCAGATATTTGTGCTTGCATATTTCGATTAAAATTAAAAGCTCTTTTTAAAGACATTATTAAAAATAGTATTTTTGGTAAAACTTTTGCTTATATTTATGTTATTGAATCACAAAAATGTGGTCTTTTATATGCACATATATTGATTATATTATCACCTGATTGCAAACCACATACAACAAAAGATTATGATTGTATTATATCAGCAGAAATCCCAGATTCTAATAATCTTCCACATGAGTATGCAACTGTAATACAATGTATGATGCATAGATTATGTGGAAATTATAATATGCATGTACCTTGTATGCAAGATGGCAAATATTCAAAAGGTTATCCAAAGCCTTTTCAAGCAGTAATCAGTCAAAATGAAGATGGTTATCCTATATATCAACAATGTCAAAATAGTCAAACTGTTAAAGTTAAAGGAGTTGATCTCAATAATCGATAGGTTGTACCTCATAATTTATATCTCTGTAAAAAATTTAACTGTCATATTAATATTGAAATTTGTTCTTCAATACATGCTATCAAATATTTATTTAAATATATATACAAGAGTCATGATCGTGCAACAATAGCACTTAATAATGATAATACTGTAGATGAGATTCATCAATATATTGACACATGTTATATATTAGCACATAAGTCTATTTGGTGTATTATGCATTATAAAATGCATGATGAAGCTCCTAATGTTATACGTTTAGTTGTTCATCTTCCTGGTCAACATTTAGTTACTTTTACTGATAATGAATCTTTGGTCAATGTTGCTCAACTGGCACAAAATCAAAAATCTACTTTAAAAGCATGGTTTGATGCTAATTGTGATCAAAATATTTGCCAAATAGCAAAAAGCTTAACTTATACTCAATTTCTTCACAAGTTTGTTTTTAATAATCATACAAAAAAATAGAATCAACATATTAGTGAGTATACAATTGGTCGAATATATTTTGTACATCCAGGTGCAGGTGAATGATACTATCTGCATATATTACTTAATGTTGTATGTGGTGCACAATCTTTTGAGTATTTACGTACTGTTAATAATATTCTTTATCCAACTTTTAAAAATGCATATCAAGCATTAGGTTTTTTACAAAATGATTAGAATAGGATTAATGTTTAAAAGAAGCATCAGAAATAAAATCAGGTTCTCAGTTAAAACAATTGTTTGCAACAATTTTGTTAAATTGTTATCCAACACATCCTAAACAACTTTGGATTAAGTATAAGTATAATTTAAGTGATGATATTTTGCATCGTATATTATATAATCCAAATTTTCAATTAACACAACAAGAAATTGAATCATGTGCTTTGCATGAATTAGAAGATATTCTTATGCAACAAGGCAAATCATTAAAAGATTTTCCTAATATGCCAATTCCTACTACTGTATGTTATTTTGCTAATTGGTTGCTTAATGAAGAATTAAATTATAATCAAGCTATACTTCGCAATTTTCTTGATCAAAATCTTTCATGTCTTAATAAAGACCAACAAAATATATATAATGAAGTAATAGAAGCAATTGAACAAAATACTTCTGTATATATCTTTGTTGATAGACCTGCTGGTTCTGGAAAAATATTTCTTTATAAAATTTTGTTAGCTAAAATTCGTTCTGAAAAAAAAGTTGCTCTTGCTATTGCTCATCTGGAATTGCCTCATTGTTACTTGATAGTGGCAGAACAGCATATTCTCACTTTAAAATTCCTATTCAATTAAATGAAGATCCAACATGTAATATATCTTTGTGTACAGATTTAGCTAATCTTTTAAAAAAAACTGTTTTAATAATTTGGGATGAGGCACCTATGTTACATCATCATAGGTTTGAAGCTGTTAATCAAATATTTCATGATATAATGCGTACAGCTGATCCAATATTAGAGTATGTATCTTTTGGTAGAAAAACTATTATCTTTGGTGATAATTTTAGACAAATCTTTTCAATTATTCCAAAAGGTAGAAGAGAAGATATTATTAATGCCTGTTTATGTCAATCTTATTTGTAGTCATACATAAAAATACGAAAACTAACAATTAATATACGATTACGTGTGTTATCTAATATTTTAGATGTAGCAGCTCAATCAGAATTTGCTAATTGGCTACTTCAGGTTGGTGAAGGGCTTATTTCTGAAGTTCAACCTAATAGTAGTTTTATACGTTTATTCTCTAATATTATTATCAAATCAGAAACTATTCAAAATTTAATAAAATTTGTGTATTCTAATTTACAAGCCAATATTTGTAATCCTACATATTTTACTGAAAGAGGTATTCTTGCACCACTTAATGATGATGTTGATATGCTTAATATTAAAATTCTTTTACAATTTTTTGAAAATAAAAAGACTTACTACAGTGCAGATACATTGGATAAAAATTCTAAAATATATAATACAGTACATAAAAGTTTATATTCTACAGAATTTTTAAATTTATTAAATTTTAGTAGATTACCTTCACATAAATTAATTCTTAAAGTTAATGCTCCTATAATATTATTACATAATATTAATATAGCTAATAGTTTATGTAATAGAACTCGGTTGATTTGTAAAACTCTTCAAGATCATGTTATTGAAGCTGAACCTATCAATGGTCCTTTAACTGGTAAATGTGTATTTTTACTCTATATTTCTTTGTCTTCTATGAATACATCTCTTCCAATTGTACTTTAGCGCAGACAATTTCTATGTAAACTTGCATTTGCTATGTCTATCAATAAATCTCAAGGACAAACAATGAATCGTGTTGGTTTGTATCTTCCATCTCCTGTCTTTTCTCATAGACAGTTATATATTGCATATTCAAGAGTAACTTCTCATCAGAGATTACAAATATATCTCAGTAAATCTGAAATTGATAGATGTACAAAAAATATTGTTTATTCTGAAATATTTCAATAATAGTTTATATTTTATATCAGCATTGTTTGTTAGTCAATTTTATTATTCTTTAATTAGATATTCTATAAAATATATAAACAAACTCTATAAACTCTGTAACTCTTTTATTAAAAATTAATGATTACTAATTATTATCAAAGCTTATTTTTTATATTGCTTATTTATTTTGTAGAATATTTTTTTAATTTTTACTAAATAACCAGTTTCTAATTAATTTTTAATATAATTAACTATCAAACTTATTATAATTTTATATTTATTATAAAGTTTGTTTTTAATATTATAAAATTTACTAAAATGTTTATACTCTATTTATATTTGTATAATACTATATAGCAAAAAATCCAATATTTATATACTCAGAATTGAGAACTGGTATAAGTCTGAAGCATTGGATATTCTATAGAATAGGTGGCCAATATAAGAAATAAGCTTTGCTAATAATTAGTAATTGTTAATTTTTTAATATCAGAGTTGCAGAGTTTGTGACGTTTGTCTACCTATTCTATAGAATATCCGAAGCATTAATACTGTTAATATTATTTTTGATTATATTATTAATCAATTGTTGTTTTCAAAATAGTTTTGTAATTATGCATTATTCAAAAAAATAGATAAAAATTTTAAAGTTATATTATTAATATATTAATTATAATAATTATATTATTGCATCAAAAAGAAAATATCTGATGGTTAAAAACATCAAAAATATAACTTTTATATAACTTAATGTATAAAATTTAAGTATCTGTTGCTATACTTCAAGCAATAAAATATAAAATTCATTATAATTCAAACTCTATTAACTTTAAAAGGATTTGTTTTACAAATTTGCTGCTTTTAGTCTAAGTTACATTTTTGTAAAAATTTATTTTTATTATTTTATAAGATTAAAATTTGTTATAATTTAAAGTTTATATATAATCAAAATTTTGGCAATTACTATATAAAAAAGCTATTTATATATATTTTTGACTAATTAAAATTAATTATATACAAATTATCTAATTAAAATTAATTATATAACTCTCAAAACTAATATGGTTAAAAAAATTATATATTTTGGCTATTTAATACTATATAATAGAATATTTAAGCTTTTAAAATCGCTTTACTTATATCTGTAAACTTATATATAAAAAAATGAAAATTTCTATTTGTACCCAGTAGGTATAATACCCAGTATAAGAAAAAAAATCAAAAATTATTAATATGTATTTCAAAATTTTACTAAAAATACCATATATAGATACATTAAGTAAAATTACTCAGCATCTAATTTTATATATAACTATACATGTTTTAAAGTCTAACTCTAACTTTAATATATTATATCAGGTATTATACCTTCTGGGTACAAGTATTAAATTTCTAAAAAAATTTATCTAATATTTAAATAATGTTAATAAAATAGCTTATCAAAATTAAAAAACTTTAATAAATAATTATTTGGTTTAATTTAAAATCTTATAAATTATATAATAATTATAGCAAATTAAAATAAATTCAGATTAAAATGAAATAGATGATAGTGTAAAATAGACAAGCCACCAAAAAAAACAAATTTTTGGATGCATTTTTTAGTATTTTTTTAGAATTAAGATTAGAATTTAGAAGCTAATTTATAATAAACAAGTATAAGTGGGTTTTAGAAAATCAAATAGAAACCTCTCATTTTATTTTAATTTACTTTCATTGTGATCTGTAACAATAATTAGTATAAATTAATATCTATAATAATATATGATAATTAATAATTATACTGATTTATTTGTATAAAAAAATTCAATACTATATCAAAATTTATCTTAATTCTTTGTTATTTATTAGATATATATACTTTTATAATATATTCTTTTTGATTAAATACTTTATTATTCTTATCAAGCTTCTAGCTTCTATTACTTATTCATATATAATTGAAAAATTTTAAATTTTATTAAATAAGGTCAATTTCCTCTAAATATATATTCTCTAAATACAACTTCTTTTTAAATACAATTAAATAGTCTTATCCTATATCAAAACTTATAGTATAAATGCAAATTTATTATTTTATAAATGTAAGATTTTGTTTAGCCAGCATATATAATTATTTTATCTAAATACAAGATATTTTATTAATTAATTAAATTAATATATTTA